ACTAACAGAGGAGTAGTAATTCGAAAACAGCATACTTTACTATATAAATTTCGGAAAATCTGTAGGCTATAAAAAATCGAGTATTTACATACCTTAATTAGATTTGATTTACATACTGTATCGCACACCCCAATCCTGCACGCATTAGTTAGCTGTTTTAGGCAGGTGCCAACAACTTTAGTCGGATCCCAACTTCAGTCATTACCGATCAGAATTCGTACTTTAGAAAATTTTGCCAATCAGGAAGATACGGGTTGGCAATTATAATTTTGTACACTGTTCATATATCACAGACTAAAGTGATCCAAACTAATCTCTAAGGTCCTGTGGTCCTTTTGGATCAGTTCCTAGACTGGTCCAGGACAAGTTTTTTGAACTGACGCAACCTTATTAATCGATACATTACAGCATTATCCGTATCATATAACGTTTTGTGTATCATCCATGTATGAGAATTTTTGGTTTCTGCAGATTAGAACACGCCAATCAAGTAATATAATTAGCACAAAACATGGGTTACCCACGTCTTTCATGATAGTTACGCCGATAATATATCATGACTATAACCTTCACCTAAGTGACAGTGTAACTTCAATCCATACATGTTAAGAAATGGGGTTTCCCAAATTCACCGGATGTAAATTTTAATGAGCTGAATACACGTATTTAGGCGTGTTTTATGCGCGAAATCTGATTTCGAAAAAAACTTATCTTCTAAGAATCCAACCTTAATGAAAAATTACTATTATCCGTTCACCCTTAATGAAAAATTGTTATTACCCCGCCCAGTCAATTATTTGACAAAAGGATTTAAGTCATGCCCAATATGATTATTTAACAATCCTATAGATTTTTTAGTCACTGAATTATATGCATTAGATACCGATACAGTATTATTATACTATATACACTAAAGCAAAGATTTCCGATAGTACGCATAAAATATGTTTAAGCCAAATCTGGCACTAATATAAAGTTAGAGTATAAAGTTAGAGTTTAGCAGTTAGTAAAAGTATAATACAAAAATTAAATTAAAAGTGTTCTATATAATTAAGTTAATGATCATCAGTCTTCTCGTTTTACAGTATACGTATAAATAATTTCATTAAATATTTAAACATGAACAACTTTCACAAGTTTGAAATTTTTGACTATCAACATAAGAGCACATCATTGATAACGTTAACCATCAAGAAAAAAGGAAAAAAATCATTTTTTAATATTTATTTACATTTAAATAATCAGATATTCACTTTATATTATTGATAAACAAAAAACACAAGATGGATGTGAACCTGCAAGGGAAGTGGGATATCTAACTGCAACTATAGAAAAATTGAAAGAACAAATCAAGCAAAAAGATGAAATAATCAAACAAAAAGATAATAGACTCGAACAAGCTCGCAAAGAGTTTAATGAAGAAATCCGAAGGTAAAAAAATAAACATTTACTTGGAGTTTGGAACCGGGTTTCGGAGCCCGTGTTTCCACCTGAAATTTCCACCTCTTTAAATAATGCCGTTTGTAAACATTGGAATGGTGAAGACGTTTATATATATCCTGGCGATTCCGCATTGAGTAAAGCAGTTTCAAGATCATTCAATGATATGTATGTAGTTATTTTTCATATATTAAACCCGATTAAAACTGGGTTTAACATATGAAACATAAACCCGGTTCCAAACTTTACATCTACTTTTTTTTGTAAATTTATCCTTTTTACCCAAAAACATTACAGATTCCAAGAGGAAGTAAAACAACTCAAAGGTGTTATTGAAGAAAAGGACGGGAGAATTATGACGCTCGAAGATGAACTTACTAGATTGAAGGCCGAAAGAAGTGCCGACTTATAAACGATCAAGATCTTAAACGAGGGTGTTGTTTAACGTCAAAAAGAGATTGATGAATTAAAAGAGGGTCACGATAAAAAAGCAAACACATTCACTCGACAACAATATGAAAACTCTCTGAGTTTGTTAAGAAAACGATCCGACATGTATGAAAAAGCATTTCTCGACAAGTGTGAGGAATGCAATGATTTGTTGAAGAGGCTTTAAAATCTTAATCAATAAGTAAATTTGGATAAATTTGATTTTATGAATTCTACATAAATATCAATTTTATGATCATATCCTATTTGATATAAATTGTTTAATCCAAGTTCAGTTTAATAAAATTCACGAGTGATTTTGTGTAATATATTTATTAAATCCCAATGTTTATAAAAAAAATGATAATTATCGCGCACATAAATTATTGAATTGTTCAGATTTGTATTATCGAATATTAATATAAACCTGATGTCATTTAGATATCAAAAAATCGTTTTTTCAAACCCGTGCTTAAATTGGGTTCATTGATAATTGCGTATTCTTTTATTATACTGTACGTATTATTTATTGTGGCAGATTAAAATGAAATCAGATTAAAGTGAATGTAAAATAGACAAGCCACCGAAAAATACAAATTTTTGGTGTGCATTTTTTTAGCATTTTTTTAGGGTTAGGATTAGGATTTAGAAGCAGGTTTTATAATAAACAAGTATAAATGGGTTTTAGAGGGTCAAATAGAAACCCCTCATTTCATTTTAATCCGATTTCATTATGATCTGCGACATTATTATATTATGTGATAAATATCATCAGGGCTTAAACGACTATATTGAAATGCCAGCAAACTACTAATCCCTGGTGATCATCAAACTATGGTGTCCAGAAGAATTATTACCATTTTTTCGCATCGCATAAATTATGCAAAAAAAAAGCATTCAGGTCATGTGGCTCAAATATGATTGGTAGATGTATTTTTTGAGATGCGATAGTTAGTGTGGGTGAAAAGTTCCGATATAGAAAATAAATGAACTCAACAAAGGTTGAGGCAATTTTTTTGGAATGATTTTGAAGGTAGTATAATAAATACATATATGGTGCGAGCGGCTTTAAATCTCCATAAAAATTGGCTTTACAGAAAATGCTACTCCTTTTTTAAAAATTTATAAATCATAAAAATAATCCACAAGATTTGTTCTTCTTGTTCTTAAGAACAAAACTTGTGGTTTAAATTTAAATTTCAAGCTAAATTGATAGAGCAGTAGCCTTTTAAACTTTGGCTATTTTATTATAAAATTGTAAAAAAGTGAACGTATCAGGTATATGTTTTTTCTTTTGACCAATTAAATCATCGCTTCAGACCATGTAATATATAAATTTTATAAAAATTTATTAGTATTGGAATTAACCGGACATATTTTACAATTATTTTTAGAATGTGCTCGTCTTTTAGGTTAATTGACGGTCTACTTCCGGTTTATTCCGTTAATATTACTATAAGATAATGAAAAAGTGAATGAAATCACGTGATTGGAGATTTAAAGCTGCTTGAACCATAGCATAATACTATAAAAATCGCATAATCTATTTAAATATTTCACATAATTTTAATATTCATCGCATAATTCTGGACACCCTACATCAAACTAGTAAGATCAAACATTAGTTAGGGTCTCATACGATAAATATCCACTCTATATTATTAAAATTGTTGGGATCACATTTAGATTACCCCGTATAAATAATTTTTTCATTTGCCACATACCGTGCGAGGATCTTACCAAATTTTGTAATGCATTTGCCACCTATATATCCTGGGTACATAGCATAGCGAACATTCATTGTAATTGGTTAGATTTTGTTGATCATCTCATGATTTTATTTGCTAATCACCTAATCAAATT